TCGTCGCCGGTTCGCCTCAGCACGGCTAGGGAATCAGGCTCGGAGAAGCCAGTAAGGTAGAGGAAGTTGGATTCTTGACGGAAAGGGTAGAAGACGGCACCAGAACGGTTTTGGATGGAAGAAGAGGGGAGAATGACGGCGGAATCAGGTGGTAGAGAATGACATAGTGCTGCTCGACGCTCGTGGTACTCTTGGGCGGTAATGCCCGGTGTAAGCTCGCCGGCTGCAAGGAGATGTGGATGTGTCTCGTGGACGGGTTGACCGAAAAGAAGATTGGAGGCGGAAACGGCTGTCGAATAGGAGCGGATGGACCTTGATGGGGATCGCTGTAATAATCGGGAGGAAGAGGGTATCGTTGATATTTGGCGTGGAATCTGGGGAGAGAAAGGTTTGGAGTGTGATGAGAGGTATCGCTCGAGTTGCCGCAAAGGTGTTGAACGGAGCTTCATGATTGGAATGCGAATGCAAATGTTAATGCTTTGACCAATTGTATCATGGAATTGCTTGTGTCATTTCCGAAAATGGCAATGTTCGGTTGTCTCCTGCACAAGCAAGAAACCTTAGTCAAGATCTAAAGATCTGCTAATATTTGGTGCATCAGAGTTGAATTTCTGACGTTGTTATTCGGAGGAATTGATCGCAAAGTTTCCTCGGCCGAGTCCAATTGGATCGAATGATAAGCTACGGATTACCTAAAACACACTGTAGTTAGGTACCTAACCCAGCTGAAGGTGGGGCAGCAAGTAATGTTTAGGTGTGGCTGCTTGGGGGCGTGTTTGGTTGCTAGGCACACCGTTAGTGGGGTTTCTACAGGTCTTACAGTGATGTCAAAATGGCCCGTGCACTTCCCTTGTTGTTGATTTGAAAATTGTTAGTGCTAGCGTAAGTTTGGACCCAGTCACGCCTCTATTTGCCCTCTAAAAGCTTGGGACGCCTTTAATTCTATCTATCTACATAGAAATTCGCCCACCACCAACCGAATTGACTTGACTTCCACGCCTTTGCACGTCCAACTTGGGGTCATTTTCGCGTCACTTGAGCCATTGAATCCTTCTAGATCGGTTAATCCCTCTCATATTCATTTTCAATGTTCTCTTGACGCCCATTGTTCCTCGTGTTGTGCTCGTCAAACTCGGCGTGTTTGCGTCACGGTTCGTCGCGTGCCATTGACCCAACCACACACTTTAGACACCTTCGACAGCACAACAATACTAGATAAACTCGAGCCTCGCTTCTCTCGCAATAGATTGTCAACCTCGATTCAAGCTGGCCACATCGACCACGAGGCAATTTACTCCTTAGTATTCACTTCGTCAACAAATATTGAGATTCGACTTACCAATCTATCATCAACTCCACCCCACAATACAAACCAGTATAAAGTACCGACGACATTTATATGGCAGCTATATCCTTATCACCAACGCCCGCTTCTTTATCCGTCATGTCTGGTCGTCGAGTTCCCTTATCAACAAACCAAAACGTCGCTAATTCCCCGTTGCGAACTTCTGCCCTTCTTACTAAACACAAACGAGCCCCGGCTCAGGTACAACGGGAGGATCAATATGGTCAACCACCTCCAGCCAAGAAGCAGATTATTGAGAATGGCTCGCAACGTTCGGCAAAGTCTCCATCTCAACACCGACCAACTAGGAGCCAGATTCCCGTGCAGACACGCCGCAATGGAAACAGCTACGAGAATAAATTGGCGAAGGAGAGATCTACCCATCATCAGCAGCAGCAGCAGCAGACCGTTTCTGCGGCCGCCGCCTACACGCAGAAGGACGTAGAGGAGATACAAAATTGGCAGAAGCACCACCGAGCTAGATTCCCAAAACTGGTATTCTATTTTGAGAAGGTCCCCAACGACACTCACAAGAAGTTGGCTAAACAGGTGGCCTCATTGGGTGCTGTAAGTATCTCAATTAACATCATCTTGATTCGCACAGTTGACTTATAACCTTGGACAGCGTGAAGCAGTTTTCTTCTCTAACGACATCACACATGTCGTCACTACCCGACCAATTCCTCCCGAGAAATCTGCAAGCCGTCGAGACGAAGATGCAGCTGCAGAGAAACAGTCCCGCCACGTCCAGGAGCAAGAGCAGGAGCAAGAAGAAGTGAAGACTATTAATCCCTCACTTCTGACTCGTCTATCCGAGGCGTCTACTAAACGCCGAGGTTTAGATCGAGATCTTCGAGCGCAGAAGACACCATCCCATGCGCAAGTTGAGTCGTTTAGCCAACCGAAGCGCACCATGGATGTTCTCCTTCGAGCGCGGGAAATGGGCAAGAAGATCTGGTCACTAGAAAAGCTGCAACGGATGTTGGCCCTGCTGGTTGAGACGGACCCTTATGTCAGTGTAGAGATCGCCTATGGTACACGAAGGATTAGAGAACCCGAACCGCGTACGACCGAGGATCGCAACCTGCTACATCTTCTCCACAACGAGCGCGTCAACGGCCCATCAGATCCCACCACGAATGCTCAGGAGTTGCACTTCTTTAAGGGACCTTATATATACGTCTATGATATCGAGGAGAAGCAGAAGCCGATCATGGTACGCGAGTATAAAAAGGTAGCCGAGAAGGGAAAGGGAGACTGGCCTCAATTCCGTACTGCTGCTTTTGGACGGTGCCCATTCATCGAGGAATATGAACCACGAGAGGTTCGACAGTCCAAGCCGAAAGTCCAAGTGACTAGAGCCACTACGGAGGCCAAGCCCGTCCTCCAGGCTCCCAAGATGGAACCCCCGAGGCCCATAACAGGAAAACGAACGTTGGGCGAGATGGAAAGCGGTCACAGTCGCGGCTCTAGTGTGGCCTCCTTTGAACTGCATAATCCATTCAGGTCTTTTGGTCAGCCAGCCGATTCTCGCTCTAACTTCTTCACTGGTCGCCCTGCAGGCCGTCTCTTCGGTGGTGAGCCCGTTGCATCCGGCGTGCAGCCTTCCAATATGACATCGGCGATTCGATCTCAGATGGTATCGTCCACTGCAACGACTCCTGGTGTCATAACTGGTCTAAGCAAGGAGGTCCATGGTCTCCAGCGTCAAGTCTTGAAGCGTAATAGCACTGCCACTTCGCAAGATTTAAGTTCTCGCCGGACCGAAACAAGTTTCCGAGACGATGCTTCTTCTAAGCGGTCACTTACCTTGGGTCGTACTTCAAGTCGGAAGCTTGAAGTAGTCGATGAGAATGCGACTGTCAGGGATTCACGAGCAGGCTCTAAGGCCGTTCCGCGGGCAGAGAAACGAGAGCCTTCCCAGGCGCCGTCTAAGAAAGCGGAGCTCAAACCTGGCTACTGCGAAAACTGCGCTGAAAAATACGCAGATTTCGATGAGGTACGGTCAACCATCCTAATTCTAATTGCCTTAACATGTTGCGCTAATTACCTATATAGCACATCGTATCCAAGAAGCATCGCAAATTCGCCGATGATAACGAGAACTGGATCGACTTAGATGACCTTCTTTCTCAGCTTGAGCGCGAGCCCAAGCAAAAATCCTTCGCGTCCTGGACGCCTTCTCTCCCAGACGCATTTGAGGAAACCTACTGAGTTGCTTCCATCTTGGCACATGGCTGCACATAAATATCCACCGCCAATGTTAATATACCTCTTCTACTTTACATTCTCTAATTGTCCATCGGCCACCCGTCGCCAGGAACGCCGAATTCTATGCATGACCCTAAAACCGGTCCGTCCTTCGTATGGCATTCGCGCCGCGATGATACCCATTTCCTTCTTTACTTTCTTCTAGCTGCCCCGAGCTACATTCGTAACTTAACCAGAACCATGGGGGACCGAACTGAGCAGGTGGCTATGGAAAAATCAAAAGGCATTAGGCATATAATAAGGCATTGCATTCGGAGTTTGAGCGTTCGGTTTTTTAGACCTTTCTTTTCACATATGGTTGTCCTCGCACACCATGATTTTCACCATGCATTATTGGCGAAAGGGTATTCTTCGATTCATATATTTTATCATCAGGTCTTCTCTCTTCCGCACATAACTCCCCGTTGGCTGGTCTGGCGGCGACAGTAGGGGTGTTCGAACTGCGGTACCGTGGGGGTCGGGGCGTCGATGGTACGATACTACAGGTTGCTATAGGGTTCAACGCGACAGCATTGTTCACATCAATGAGGCAACGGTGCATATATATGAACTCTAGGTCGAATATGTATAAGTAGTAGTCTATGAGAAGGAATCAATGCGGATTTCAAAGATTTATGCTGTTTCGTGTTTGGTTTCAGTTTTTTCGTACTACACATCGTTACTACTGGTATGATATTTGTATCAGTACGAAGACTTCGACTTACTGATACCGTCCTTGATGGCGGATTCTCGGCTGACTACTTGACTCGATACCGATTAGGACCTAACCAATATCCTCACCGAGCCAGTTGAGACAACCCTCTACCTTTGATCTCGTGTAAGGTCACTTTTTGTCTGTTCCGGCAGCTTCTATTTCTACGCTTTGTCATTGTTGTTACTCCGATGGCTAATTTTATCTAGAGTTTTCCTGTAAGAGAGCCCATAAGGAGGGGACTAAAATCCTTAGGTTAGTTTGGCAATGGTACAATCAATGATTCAATACACCTAGAATATTCCATGAGCCTCAGTGCTGATTAAAAATATTATCAGGATAAGCCTTCTCATCGATTCCGATATGGATTGAGGGTGTATACTTACGCCTTGACGAGTACTAAGCTGACATAACGCTGAATACTTCGGCGTACCTACGCACCTTGCTCTTTGAGCTTTGCGCTATGCTACTAACGCCTACTAGAAGCTACCCGGTCTCGACCGTGTAAATATCAAAAAGATTGAGTGCTAAAAAGGCCGTGTGGAAAAAACTAGTGTCTTTAGTTTCAACCAAGTCGCAGCTAGAAAAAAAGAAATCGGATGGAAGTGGACATCAGAAGGCACTAGGGGTTATAAGACACTTTTACTTTGTAAAACATCATCTATGGGACAAACGTGTCCTCGTACGACCGAATCCGAATTGGTGTAGTGGCTAACATTTGACGCTCTCATGGGGCATCATCTCTATCATGTGTGTTGTATGATCTCCAGATCCGTCAAGCCCGGGGTTCGATTCCCCGATTCGGAGTTCTTTTTGCCCTGCTTTTTTTATCGCATACATTTTATGATTGAGAAATTCCTCATTGGTTCCTATCAGTATGTTGTACTTTTTCGAGAATAACTGTGTATTTGGTTAACATATTGGCTGCTATTGTAGTGTTAGTAAATGTTAGCTAATCTACGGCATCGTGACAACCTCATCTTTTAAACGCTGTCCGAACCCCTCCAGCAGGTACCGGTGATCAAGAAACACGCCCATAACAGCATAAAAGGAACTACAAGGTATATATGTCTGGTCGGATCAATCATAAGCCGCAGACTGCAATTCATCATACCTCTGTCTCATCATTGTAACCTCGGCCGAGAGGGGGTTGAGGTGGCGAGGGGTCTGGGCTGACAGGAATGGGATAGGCGTAGATCGCACCGGGGTGAGAAATTCCAACTCCTCAAGATAATATATCATTGATACGGCCCAAAATGGCGGAAATTTTTGATTCATTAGCAAAAAGGCTTGACGCCTTGACGCTGGCCGATTTCGAAGGCCACGAGACTAAGAGGTTGCAGTTGCTATCAAGTGCACGCAAGCTTTTGAGTCGCGTGGAACTAAACCAAGAGAGGGTTATGAACATCGCGTTCTCGCAGCCCATTACATATGCTGCGTTAAAGACATGCGTTGATCTCGGCCTTTGGCATGGGTGGACCGAAGCAGGTGGAGGAGAGAAGTCGGTTGATGAATTGGTTAAGCTAACTTCGAAAGACTGCGATTTGAACTTGCTTCGTACGTTGGTATCATATGAATTCTAAGCGCTTTGGATCACTTAATTAACATTTCCCAAGGCCGTTTCCTCCATCTCTTGGGCGCCGCGAATATCATCGAGGAAACAGGGGAAGACCGGTATCGACCGACGAACTTCTCATTTTCGATTGGTGATAAGTCTACCAGAATGGCGGAGGCTGTAAACTCCAAGTATAAACCCAATTGCAAGTACTGATTTAACGCGTCGATTTTTCCTGATTGATCACCTGTAGGGCCGATCACTGGGATATATCCCAGATAAATCTTCCAAAGTTCCTAGCCAAAACATCATATCGGGAACCCGTCGATCCAAAGCATAGCAGCTACAGCGACGGAAACCCAGAAGGACTGTCGTTCTTTGATAGGTGCCTCTCCAAACAATATCTCCAGGATAGCTTCAGTGGCTTCATGACGGAATGGGCAAAATACAAGATTCCGTGGCCACAGTACTATGACACAGAGACTCTTGTCAAGGGCGCGGACTTATCTTCGGGCGATCCATTAGTCGTTGACATTGGAGGCCATCATGGCATTGACTTGTCCGTATTCTTGGATAAACATCCAGATGTGCCGGCTGGGTCTCTGGTTCTTCAAGATCTTCCAGGTGTCTTGTCAGGTGCAAATATCACTACGGATAAGATTAGACCTATGGCACATAACTTCTTTGAAGTTCAACCTGTACACGGTAGGTGTATTTCGTATTGGCTCTATCTACATAGTTGGCTCTCCAGTTCCAAATGAAACGAGGCTAACAGATGGTGTGAATAATAGGGAGTCGCGCGTACTTTTTCCACGCGGTATTTCATGACTGGCCGGACACGGTAGCAGTCCAGATGCTGCGCAACTTAGTGCCGGCATTAAAGAAGGGATACTCCAAGGTCCTCATCTGCGACATCGTCATTCCACGTACAGGAGCAAGCATCTACCAAACAGGAATGGACGTGAATATGATGGCGGAGCTCTCGGGCCTAGAGAGAACAGAAGATGGGTGGATGAAGCTTCTAAAGGGAGCAGGACTCGACTTCGTAAAAATGTGGAAGGATTTACGAGGGTACGAGACTGTGATTGAGGCAGAACTGGCTTAGGAATCTTTTATGCGAGTTCAAGATGTAATTGGATTTGTCCAAGTTCAACACTCAAGATACCACTTTCAACAGCGGATCAGAGCCAAACAAAGGGAGACCGATGGCTGGTTGCATCTTGATATTTCGCTCGACGGGTTCCTAATGCAGAAGGCTAGGAGACTTGAAAGATTCAGCATCGTCTCCTTTCCAAGCAAAATCTATAGTTTATCAATCTTTTTGGGAACATAGTAATATGTTATTTTATCTCTCCACTCCGCCCGTGAAGCGGAAAAGGCAATTATGATAAGCTATAAGAAATATCCCGTTCCTTAGGAAAGATATCTACTTTCTTTCTCGTCAGGTCAAGAAGGTACGTACCTAGACAATAGGGGATGCTCAGGGGCTGCATAACCTCTTTAGATATATATTACCATACAAACGAGGCAAGCGGGTAACGGGGTATCAGTCTTAGACTAAGCCACTTAATCCAGGTCATGCATGCATCGCCAATGTGGCTGAATCATGCTGCCTGGACTTTCTGGATTGATCTCGTCGCCCTCAACTCAATCTCACAAGTAGTCATCTTTGATCAACAATCGGGAGGTCGCCTGGTTTCGAAACTTAGTGGGCCATATGATCCTTAGGCAGTCACTTGTGTGTATTGATAGATTCATGACAAGTTGCAAAAGAGAAAAATCTACGTCTACAAAATGGAGTACCCGGACCGACCAAGCCCATCACCTCCGGCGTCTCCCACAATTCCGGACCAACGATCATCACCTGAGCTACCCCTTACCATGACCGCATCAGCAATTCTCACGTCGCTTCCCCAAGACGCCAGCTCAGCCCTCGCCAGCGCTGGCGAGTTCGACCAGGAGAGGATCCTCGTTCGGTTCAAGGCCGTCGGCGCCGCCCCGCAGCTCAAGCGTGAGGTGCGCCGCATCAGCGCGAGCCAGAAGTTCGAGGCCGTCGTGACTCACCTACGCAAGGCGCTGCATCTCAATCCAACTGATGGTCTGTTTCTCTACGTGAACAGCGCGTTTGCGCCTGCGCTGGACGAGATTGTTGGTAATCTGCATAGGGTAATATGGATGCATCACTATGATTTATTGATCGGTTGCTGATTTGATTGGTGTATAGTGTTTTAAAGATTCAAGTGATCATTTGATTGTCGTCTACTCAATCACGCCTGCATTCGGATGAGCCATGCGACAGCTATACATGCCTATCCAATATGCATCCCCTGGCCATATCCAAGGGCCTGTTCATGCTAATATAGTAAATCTAAAGAAACCAAAAGAGCCTGCACGCTTGATACCCTCGCTCTCTATGGTATGGGTATAGAACCAAATTAAACCAACGGCAGCGCTTTATACCTTCTCTACATCTCTCGCAAATGCCTCGAGCTCTTCTTTAGAGATTGGATAGGTATGTTCCGGAGCTGGGTATTGTCGCGTTTTCACCTCTTCTCGATACGTCTCAATGGCCCGGAGGCTTTCGGCCCACACATTACCGTATTGTTTCACGAATTTGGGAATGAAGCGGCCAGGCGGGAAATTCCCCGACATGTCAACCTGGACAAGTACTTGACCAGAACATCCGTTTCCTGCGCCGATCCCGATTGTTGGGACGGATAGTTTCTGCGTTATGATGCTTGCGACTCCCGCTGGGACGGCTTCCATTACCATGGCGAAACATCCGGCCTCTTGGACGGCGAGCGCATCTTCGAGAACTCTGAGTGCACCCTTGGACGTTTTCCCTTGTACCCTGAATCCGCCTAGGGCATTCTGGCGCTGGGGTGTAAGCCCAATATGCGCCAAGACAGGGATACCAGCTTTGGTAATCTTTTCGATCGTCGGGGCCATCTCCTTTCCGCCCTCTATTTTAATACCTTGGACGCGACCATATTTGACGAATTTTATCGCCGTCTCTAGCGCCTGCTCGGGCGAGACTTCATATGATCCCATGGGAAGATCTCCAACCTTGTTTGTTGTTAGCATCTTGGATTGGCGAAGCCATGGATGTTCTTACTGTGAAGGCGCCTCGGGTCGCACGTGCGACTGACCGACAGTGAAGCAACATATCCTCAACGGTTACTTCGCTGGTATCTTCCATACCCAATGCGACCATCGCCAGACTGTCGCCAACAAGAATAATGTCCATCCCGGCAGCATCTGCGACGTGTGCACTTGGAAAATCATGAGCAGTCATGACTGCGATGGGTTCCCCCTTTTTGTACAAGGACCGAAGACCTGTTATCGTGACTTTTTTCCTTGAGGGATCTGCAGAGGAACCCAAGGGAGAATGGGAACTCCATCTGAGCTGCTGTGGCCTTTGTCGCTGCCATATCGTCGGTAACGATCTAGTGACTGCAAAGGTAGCACTCGACCGCATTCCCCAGCATGGTGTTGAGGCACGTGATCTCAACAGGAGGTGCGCCATTTGGGTTGGTGTTGTCAAGGAATAAATTAAAAAATAAAAACAGAATGAACGAAAAAAACTGGTTCTTTTCAGATATGATTAATCCAAAGTTAAAAAAGAGGAAAAACAAATTGCGGCCATGATTTAGTGCTAACCACGGTTTTATTCTTTGGTCATGATGGTTTTTGCTGCGTACAATTGAGTCTCTCATCGGGAAGTTGCTTTGGTGTTTTTTTTCGCAGCACTGTGTCGGCCTATGAGCTTGCAAGTGTCAGCTTACTCAGGTGGCCGCTATGCGCCTTATCGCATCCCCCGATTGGGTGCCGAGGTTCGCGGTTGAATATCGGCTGCTTGTCAGACTTACTAATCCTCTTTTCCCTGCAAATTCCCTGCGAATCCCTTCCTTATCCCCCTTTTCTCTTATCTGTGGCAAAAGGAGTCTGAAGCTCTTTGACTTTATTTTTCGGTTCTAAATGCCTAGGGATGATAAGAACTATTTATGCCTAATATGTATAATACAGTCCCCTATTGGGATTTTCATACAGCCTTGCATCAGGGCTATTTGCAGATGGGCATTTGACCCTCTGACTTCACATCTCTAATAGGATTTGTGCGACCTTAACCCTTCTTAATACCTCCTGCAGCCACAGGCACTGACACGATGATTTATCTTCATTGGCTACAAAGTATTGAGCTGATGACATAGAATATTCATACATATTTGATACTGAACGGCTGCAAAGCCAC